CAATGGGCTCCACCCAGTTGGAGCTTCCAGGCTGCTTTGTTTACCTACTCAAGTCTCAGCAATGGTGGGTGCCCCTCCCCCAGCCTTGCTGCCATCTTGCAGTTCTATCTCAGACTGCTGTGCTAGCAATGAGTGAGGCTCCGTGGATGTTGGACCCTCTGATCCAGGTGCGGGATATAATCTCCTGGTGTGCCATTTGCTAAGACCATTGAAAAAGCACAGTATTAGGGTGGGAGTGACCCAATTTTCCATTTGCCATCTGTCACAGCTTCCCTTGGCTAGGAAAGGGAATTCCCTGACCCCTTGCACTTCCCGGGTGTGGTGATGCCTTGCCCTGCTTTGGCTCACACTTGGTGGGCTGCACCTACTGTCCTGCACCCACTGTCCTACAAGCCCCAGTGAGATGAACACAGTACCTCAGTTGGAAATGCAGAAATCACCCATCTTCTGCGTCGCTCACGCTGGGAGCTGTAGACTGGAGCTGTTCCTATTCGGTCATCTACACTATGTACATTTTTAAATTCCCTTTTCCACAGATGAAGTCTATAGAAAAATAAAATAAAGTCCCTTTTAGTCTCCTAAGTAAAAGGATTCAACAGCTTTTAGTAAGCCAAAAATATAAAAGAACCATTAAATTAGAGAATAATAGACAAATAATGAGGTTAGCTGATCAGACTGAGGGATGGACACTTATACCAAAAAAAAAAAAAAAAAAAAACAGGCTTCCATGAGTCATGACTGAGTCTGAAAGCAGTTATTTTTAAGCACACGTTGACTGAACAGTGGCTGAGAGCTAAGCACTTGTCATGCCTGATCTTACTGGATTTTCCTAATAACCCATGATGTGAGTATTATTATTTCCATTATTGTTATTATTTTTAAATCTAACAGGGAACCTAAAACTTGGCTTGGGTAACTTACTCAGAGTGTCACAGCCAGGTCATGGCCAAAGCAGAATTTGAACTTGGTTTGACTTTAGAACCTGGGCTCTTAATCATACATGATACCTACTCTGAAGGCAGCAGATATTGGGAATCAAGTCAGAAGGAGACTGGGATTCAGTGCCAGGATATCCATTCCCTAAAGATGCTGGGTAACAAGAGAATAAGGCAGGAAGTGTGGATGGGGAGCAAGGTCAGAACAGGAGGAGTGTCTAAGAGCATCTCCTACCTGGATTCTGTACTGAACTTCAGGGACAGTAACTTTGAAGGTTAGGAAGAGAAAGGGAAAGGGAATCTAGAATGTGTCACACCATTCCCCCCTTGCTTGGCTATGAGGCCTTCTGAATATCTGAAGCAAATAGGTTAATTAAAACAAAATGTAACTTCCTCAGATCACCTTCATCTACTCTACATGGTGCCACAAGGTGCCAACTGGTCTCTTCTTATTTATTTATTTATTTATTTATAGACAGAGTCTCGCTATTTCGCCCAGGCTGGAGTGCAGTGGCACGATTTCAGCTCAGGGCAACTTCTGCCCCCCAGGTTCAAGCAACTCTCATGTACAGCCTCTCAAATAGCTGGGATTACAGGCATGCACCACCATCCCCGGCTAATTTTTGTATTTTTAGTAGAGATGCGGTTTTGCCATGTTACCCAGGCTGGTCTTGAACTGGTCTCAAGTGATCTACCCTCCTTGGCCTCCCAAAGTGCTGGGATTACAAGTGTTAGTCACCGCACCTGGCCCCAAGTGGTCCCTTCTAAGAGAGGTTTTCAAGTGACAAAGTCCTTGGTGTCTAAGGATAGACATCAGGCCATTGTCCATGTCTGGGAGGTAACCTGAGGAGGTGAAAGTTCACACAGCCATGAAATAATAGATGTAGTCATAAAGAATAAGCAAAAAAGAACAAAGAAGAATAATAAGGAATAAATGAAGGTTGAATTATTTAGAGCTGGGCAAGGGCCTGGTTCAGAAGAGGAAGTAAGTGGACGCAGCTGCCACAGGATGAGGGTGTGATTTAGATAATTCTGACATCTAGACTGGAGCTACAGGGTTGCAAATTATTCTCACTTCACTGGATATTCTCAGCACAGTCAGCAACCATGAAATACAATAAACTGTTAAAAAAAAACTTTAGATGAATTAAATTTAACAAAATTAAATTGCACAAGAAACAATTCTCAAATCAGGCAGGCCCCTGATCCACCAACCAGATTAGGTTTAGAGACATCCAGGTGCTGCCACATGGTCAGAGATGACTTATGGACATAAAAAGAAAAGTGAGGTGCAGTAAACGGAAGTAAGGTACAGAAGCAGCCCAATAGGTTACAACTCAGTATTTGCCTTATTTAAACATGGTTTGGCCAGGCACGGTGGCTCATGCCTGTAATCCCAGTGCTTTGGGAGGCCGAAGTGGGCAGATCACTTGAGGTCAGGAGTTTGAGATCAGCCTGGTCAATGTGGTGAAACCCCATATCTACTAAAATACAAAAGTTAGTTGGCCATGGTGGCATGCACCTGTAATCCCAGCTACTTGGGAGGCTGAGGCAGGAGAATCGCTTGAACCCAGGTTGCAGTGAGTCGAGATTGTGCCAGTGCACTCCATCCTGGGTGACAGTGAGACTCTGTCTCAAAGAACATAAAAATAAAAAACACGATTTGAACAATCAGCCACCTGTGAGTAGTTGAGCATGGCTTCTGTGATTAACTGAGATTTGGCTACTTGTTACAAGAGCAGTTACAGTCTGTTTACACATCCAATTAGGTTATAGTTCACTATGTCTGGAGAAATCTGTAGGCCAGGGACGTCCAATCTTTTGGCTTCCTTGGAAGAATAATCCTCTTGGACCACCCATAAAATACACTAATGCTAACAATAGCAGGTGCATTTTTAAAAATTGCAGATAAATCTTATAATGTTTTAAGAAAGTTTATGAATTTGTGTTGGGTTGGTTGAATTTCAAAGCCGTCCTGGACCACATGTGAACTGCGGGCCAACAGGTTGGACAAGCTTGATTTACACCAAACTTAAATTTAGCCTAAAGCTGCCTCCTCACGTATTTCAACAAAACTGAGTTTTGGTTTTTCAAGTTTGCCTCCATGTAGTACTCAGATATGCTTGGGACTTGAAATATATATATTTTAACTTGTTATCTGTATGCTAATATTTAATATCCTAAGGACAGGTGGCAGAGTGTGGGCAACTGAAATCCAGCCAGCAGAACAGAGAGAGATTTGGGGGAACGCCAATGCCAGTGTCATGACACTGCTCTTCAGAAACAACTGAGGAGTTCTAGAAATCTCTGCTGTGCAGTCTTCACCAAAGAAATTCTGAAAATTGAATACCGTATTGAATACACAGGTAAAAGCAAATAGTAAGATGATAAAATTTTTGGACATAGTGGTAGATCTGGGGTTTGAACCTAGGGTTATTGACTGTGAATTCAGCGTCCCTTTCAAAATATCAGATTACACCTTTTAGGGCTTTGTAGGAACTCAAATCTGCTAATAGGTTTGTACCTGAAGAGTAATATGAGAAACATTTGTTTTTTAAACACATTCTTCAAAAGTGGCATCTTTTCAATGATTTTTAAAAAGACAGTAACATGATAATTGCCAAGACTATGGATAAAAGGCTGCAGAGAAAGCAGCATGAAACACTTAACACTAGCCAACATCCTTGGTTGTAAATGAAATAGAAACATAGCCTGAAATGGAATTTACTGGAAGCCTTTTGAGTAACTGTTCTGTGTGGGAAATGTGCGAGGGCAAAAGACAAACATACAGCCGGGTGCGGTGGCTCACGCCTGTAATCCCAGCACTTTGGGAGGCCAAGGCGGGCGGATCACGAGGTCAGGAGATCGAGACCATCCTGGCTAACACGGTGAAACCCCGTCTCTACTAAAAATACAAAAAAAATTAGCCGGGCATGGTGGCGGGCACCTATAGTCCCAGCTACTCGGGAGGCTGAGGCAGGAGAATGGCATGAACCCGGGAGGCAGAGCTTGCAGTGAGCCGAGATCACGCCACTGAACTCCAGCCTGGGTGACAGAGCAAGATTCCCTCAAAAAAAAAAAAAAAAAAAAGACAAACATACAATACCTTTGAGGGTAAACAACCTTTATCCCACATAAATGGCAATGCAGATATAATAAGCAAATTGCAATGGGAAGGGGAGAAGGGAAAAAAAAAAAAAAATATATATATATATATGCACCGGACTATGGAGGATGCATCACCATACCGGAAAGCAACAGCCTGGGCTCCAGAGTCAGCCACTTGTCTGTGCACAGAGGAGGAGAGGTCTCATGAAGCTTTGGCGTGGCCTGGGACCCTGGCTCTTTTTTTTTTTTTTTTTTTTTTTTTGAGACAGGGCCTCTCTCTGTAACCAGGCTGGAGTGCAACGGCACGATCTCCGCTCACTGCAACCTCCGCCGCCAGAGTTGGAGTGATTCCCCTGACTCAGCCTCCCGAGTAGTTGGGACTACAGGTGCATGCCACCACGCCTGGCTAATTTTTTGCATTTTAGTAGAGATGGGGTTTCACCATGTTGGTCAGGCTGGTCTCCATCTCCTGACCTCGTGATCTGCCCGCCTTGGCCTCCCAAAGTGCTGTGATTACAGGCGTGAGCCACTACGCCCGGCCACCCTGGCTCTTTTTGTAATGCGTCGATTGGCATGACGCCCAGTCACGAGGGCCCTTCGCGACTGGGCTCAAGGAACACATAAAGGTCAACTTGTTTTTGCAATTGTCTGTTTTTCAACAACTCAAGTACAGGCACAGAGTTATCTGTAACAGTGCTGGATGAATGAATGCCTCAAGGGGCTCATGCAACCTGTTCCGGACTTGATGACCATTGTGTCTACGTTCAATTGAGTTCAAATTTAACATTTTACTTTTCCTCCACAGTAACTGGCAGAATTATAGGGAAGGCTGGAGGAACACGTACCAAGGTTGGGTGGAGGAAGCTAGGAGGCTGGAGCCAGCTTCAAGGGTGGGGAGCCACTGACACCACGTCCAGAATGGCTGCCATGCTGCCTCTACTGGATTCAGGTTGCAATTGGGAGTCGGGGAAGGAGGAGGGGTTTGGGCGGGTGTCACTCCACCCCTTTGACGGATACGCACCGGCCTTAGGACCCGGCGCAGCACGGCATGAAGCTTGGAAGCGGGCTAGGGGAGGCCGTCGCTCATATCTGACGTCACCAGCTCGCGCCGGCGGTAGGTGAGGACGCCAACAGCAGCCGAGAAACGTTTCTCTTTCCTCTCAGCTTGCGCACACGATGGCGGCCCCCGCCCAGTCGACTACGCAGCCTGGCGGCGGGAAGCGCAAAGGCAAGGCTCAGTATGTGCTGGCCAAGCGCGCTCGGCGCTGCGACGCTGGCGGGCCCCGTCAGCTAGAGCCCGGGCTACAGGGCATCCTCATCACCTGCAACATGAATGAGCGCAAGTGCGTGGAAGAGGCCTACAGCCTGCTCAACGAATACGGCGACGACATGTATGGGCCAGAAAAGGTACCGGTACCGGGGCGGGCGGGCTGCTAGGCCTTGCGGGAGGAGGGAAGGCTGGAGGGTTGGCTGTCGGTATGGGCATGCGCGCTTTGGGTCGTCGGCGTGTCGGCTGTAGGGGCGTGGTCTCTCCGGCGTTTCCGTCCCTAGCCCTGAGGCGTTCGCAGACTTCGGCGCTGTAGTTTTTTGTGCTTGAAGTGCTTGCACCTTTTCTTTCCATCATTAACCACGGTAGCTCCCATTACTTTTATGTTTATTTTTGTGAGACAGGGTCTCGCTCTGTTGCCCAGGGCGGAGTGCAGTGGCGAGATCATAGTTCAAGGGAGCCTCGACTTCCCGGGCTCCAGCGATTCTCCTGCCTCAGCCTCCCGAGTAGCTGGGACTACAGGTGCACTCCACCACTCTCGGCTGATTTTTGTAATTTGTAGATAAGGGGTCTCACTGTTTTGGTCAGGGTAGTCCTAAACCCTACACTCCAGCGATTCTCCCGTCTCTGCCTCTCAAAGTGCTGAGATTACAGGCGTGAGCCACTGAGCCCGGCCTAGCTCCCACTTATGGACAGCTCACTGAGGGCCAGGCGGTGTGCTGAAGCTCTTTCAGAAACACATTTCTCATGACATCCTTGTGAAGTTGGAATAATAATGTGTTTACCTGAAGCAATATCTTTGAAATAATAGGTTTACTACTAATGCCAGTTACTGCACTTACAATACATTTTAGAAAGTAAAAACTTTTTTACCATTATCACCTAAAGCCTTACTGTTTGGAAATCATATTACTGTCTTAGAATCCGGACCAATACCCACATGCACACTGTGAGGGATTAAATGAAGAAGGGTAATAATACAGAGGGAATTTAAATTCACAGCTCGTCCTTTACCAGCTGGGGACTCGGACATGGGCACATTATTTGATGCTGCTGAGCTAGATAAAAAGGAGAATACTTTAAGACTGGCTAGTGGGTTGCTTATGTACATAAAGTACATACTGGTATGTAATAAAGTTTCAGTAAATGTGTACAGTTATTGTGCCTGATTGGCGATTTCATTGGGCACTGGGGGGCAGAGAAATGGGCAAAAAGTACATATCCTGTCTACTCCTGTACTTTGAGCAAATTCTTTTTTTGGAAGCGGTCTTGCTCTGTCACCCAAGGTGGAGGCTGGAGTACAGTGGCATGATCTTGCTCACTGTAACCTCCACCTCCGAGGCTCAAGCGATCCTCGTGCCTCAGCCCCCAAGTAGCAGGGACTGCAGGCATGTGCCACCACACCCGACTAATTTTTTGTATTTTTTGTAGAGAGGGGTTCTCAGGCCATGTTGTCAAGGCTGGTCTCAAATTCCTAGGCTCAAGGGATCCGCCCATCTCTGACCCCCAAAGTACTGGGATTACAGTCCTGAGCCACCATGCTTGGCCAAAATTATTGAACAGGTATTTCTGTGCCTTGTTCCTTAATAGAACAAGAGTAAGGCTTTTTAATTCCGCAAGTATTTGGTCTAATCTCACCAAAAGGAGACTGTCATGTCAGTCACACAGATACCTGGTCAGGGTGTTAAGGTCCACCCTGAAATGATTGATCTGGTCAGCACATTTCTCTCTGTCTCAAACTGTCAGGATGCTTTTGAAAACATTTTCAAATTTTACATACTATATCTGGGAATTCCCTCTTCCTCCACATTTTTTTTTTTTAATTTTTTTGAGACAGAGTCTTGCTCTGTCACCCAGGCTGGAGTGCAGTGATACAATCTCAGCTCACTGCAACATTGCCTTCCAGGTTCAAGCAATTCGCCTGCCTCAGCCTCCTGAGTAGCTGGGATTACAGGCGCCTGCCACCACACTGGGCTAGTTTTTGTATTTTTAATAGAGACGGGGTTTCACCATGTTGGCTAGGCTGATCTGGAACTCCTGACCTCAGGTGATCTGCCTGCCTCAGCCTCCCAAAATGCTGGGATTACAGGCGTGAGCGACCACTTCCGGCCTTGCTCCATGTTTTGAAGGGTGTGGTGTCCCAGTTTCGTAAAAAAAGGCTTTATTATCAATACTGAGTCAGCTGGGCATGATGTCTCACGCCTGTAATCCCAGCACTTTGGGAGGCTGAGGCGAGTGGATCACCTGAGGAGTTCAAGACCAGCCTGACTGACATGGCGAAAGCCCATCTCTACTAAAAATACAAAAATTAGCTGGGCGTGGTGGCATGCACCTGTAATCACAGTTATTCGGGAGTCTGAGGCAGGAGAATTGGTTGAACCCAGGAGGCGGAGGTTGCAGCGAGCCAAGATCACACCACTGCACTCCAGTCTGGGAGACAAAGCGAGACTCCATCTTAAAAAAAAAAAAATCAATACTGAGCCGCCTGCCACAAGGGATTTCATATAAATGATTACTTACAGTGTTTAAATGTGAGCTGTTGTGTCATTTCTGCTCATTAGTTTTATGCAAACAGTTTACAGACAAGGATCAGCAGCCCTCTGGAAGTGAGGGAGAGGATGATGATGTGGAGGCTGCCTTGAAGAAAGAAGTTGGTGACATTAAGGCATCTACAGAGTTGAGGCTAAGAAGATTCCAGTCAGTGGAAAGTGGAGCAAATAACGTCGTCTTCATCAGGACACTTGGGATAGGTGTGACGAATACTTGTTAAGATTATTGATCTTATAACATCTGGGTATATTCCTCTCTCAGGGAATACTGCTTACAAAATGGCTTCTTGGGCATGACTCAATCATTTGATGGCAGCTTCTGTACACTATATTAGCAGTTGGCCTGTGGAGAGGTAGAATGGGGTGGTGGATGTAGCATTGGCTTAAGAGTGGAAACCTGGCTTTGCTGCTTCCTTCGTGTATATCTTAAAGCAGAACTAGAGTGCCTGTTCTGTCTAAAAGGGGCAGCTGCTACTCAGCTCCAGCCAGTTGTTGCTCTTTGGGAATGCAGGACCAGGTATTCGAATTTCTCAAAATAAGTTGGAAATCTGGAGTTTTTAAATTTTTCAATGTGGTCAACTAATTTAAAAATTTTCAGAGCAGCCCCAAATAGACTTGTATGTAGGCAGGTTGCAGCCTGAGGACCTCCCTTTCATGATCTTGTGCCCAATATGGTTCTGGGATTCCTCCTGAGTCTGAGATTTAGACTTCTGTGCTAACTTAGCTAATGGATTAATTACATCTTTTAAAGTGACTCACAGATTTTTTTTTGTTTTTTTTTTGTTTGTTTTTTGGTAAAAAAGTATGTACTGTTTAATGTACTCTGATAGTTGTTACAGGAAAACAAGAGCATGGTGTTAAGGTTGGATAACTCAGGACGTCACAAAAATGTTAACAATCGTGTCTAAACAGTCATTTCTAGTGCAAGCAGTAATGATGAAAAGTTAAAAATTAGGTACATTATAGTACATATTAGGCACTGAAGAAATACTAGTTGGAAAAACGACTAGGTAGATTCATTTAAATTCATTATCAGAATTTCTTTTGTCAACTTATGTCATTGCCAGTGAAAATTCATTTTAGAGTTCAGTCTTTAGGATGTCTGAGAAATTACCTTCTTAACTTTTTTTTTCTGTTTTTTTTTTCTTAAGAACCTGAGAAATTGGTGCATCATATTCTCCAGGATATGTACAAAACCAAGAAGAAGAAGACTCGAGTTATTCTACGAATGTTACCCATCTCAGGCACATGCAAGGCTTTTTTAGAAGATATGAAAAAATATGCACAAACATTTTTGGAACCCTGGTTTAAAACTCCTAACAAAGGGACATTTCAGATTGTGTACAAATCTCGAAATAACAGTCATGTGAATAGAGAAGAAGTTATCAGAGAATTGGCAGGTATGTTTCTCTTAGTGATTTTCCATAGGCGTTCAATAGTAAATACTTGTTTTTAAAGGATTTTTTTTTTTCTTTTTAAAGATTTAAGGCTTACATTTTTGAGTGTAGAACAAATATATTAAAATGTTCTTAAAATAATATTAAATCAACTGATTTCAATATGTTGGATATGAGATTTTCTGGTAGTTAGATAAAGTCTTTTTTAACTCAAAATTGAATTTTGTTTGGAAAAAAATATTCTTACTAAACGTTGTAGGGTTTCATTTGTATTTATTTATTGTAAGAGTTCAGAGTATTTGAAGTCCACATAGAGGAGTGGATTACTGTATGTCTTATTTTAACAAGAAACAGAGACAAAAGATTTTTTGTATCTGTCAAACATAACGGTATCCTCCTCAGCTATGTGTTTTTCTGTTTTTGTTACAGGAATAGTGTGCACCCTCAATTCAGAAAATAAAGTGGATCTCACCAATCCACAGTACACGGTGGTAGTAGAAATCATCAAAGCTGTCTGTTGCCTGAGTGTTGTGAAAGATTACATGTTGTTTAGAAAATACAATCTCCAGGAGGTGGTGAAGAGCCCTAAGGATCCATCACAGCTTAACTCAAAGCAGGGAAATGGGAAAGAAGCTAAATTGGAATCTGCTGACAAATCAGACCAAAACAACACAGCAGAAGGAAAAAATAACCAGCAGGTACCGGAGAATACTGAGGAGCTGGGGCAGACAAAACCAACGTCTAATCCGCAGGTGGTAAATGAGGGAGGAGCCAAACCTGAACTTGCAAGTCAAGCCACAGAAGGATCCAAGTCAAATGAAAATGACCTCTCATAGGAAGTCATTCGGTGTTGGAGGTGGGTTTCTCACCTGGGGCTCTGTGAGATGTTGCTGGGGTTTTACCTTAAATTGTGACTTAAAAACAGTTTTTTATTTGTGTGCTGCATTAGGCTATTCTCACAGTAGTGAACAATGATTGCACAGCCCTGTTAACAGTTTTGTTAGGGATCTTTCAGCCCTTATGGTATTATGTAGAGGCAGACCCATGTGCTGCTATTGCAAAGAGGGGAGGATAGGAGGAGGCGGATGTTGACCTCTCCCAGGCTCCTCTTCTGCAGTGCCAGCTGACTTACGGGAGTGAACTGATTGTGAAGTAGAAAATCAGAGGGAAGTTTTCATTCTAAGGAAGGCGTTTTTACATGCCACAGCTCAGCTGTCCCGCTGCCACTGTGCTGTAAACATTGCAAAAATGTGGATCATGTAGGTTAGAAGTGAATTGTTTAGTGAAGTTTTTGTACTTTTGTGATTTTCTTGTTTATGTCTGTTTTTATTTTTTTATTTTTATTTTTTAACATTTGTGTGTAACAAAGTTGACAGTCCAGTGCCGCAATTTTGGAAGGCAAGATGTGAGAGAGAAGAGAACCATTTAGGCATAGAGCTACAGACATTTCTGAAAAGGTTGGTGATGAAGAATTTCAGTCTTCTGAGTATACTTCAGTATACTAGTGCAACAAGGGACATAAAGAAATTCTGTCTTTATAATGAAAGCTACTTCTCAAGCGTTTTATATGGACTCAGTCCAAGCTGTCCTATCCTATTGTGCACTGTCTGTGGCATGCAACTTATAAAACTAGCAATTGTAACTAAATCACAGCCACTTGACAAGAAAGGATATTCATTATTTTCAAATGGCTTTTGGACTATCAAAACAAAAACAGTAAGGCTTTTGTTCAGAAATCACATGTAGTCAAAAGGTTTAAGAAGCAAACTATTTAGTAGCAGAACTTATCTCAGGAAAGGAAAATATGCATAGTTGGTGAGAATCTAATAACATTAAAATGCTGGGGCAAGATGCAGTACAAAATTGAAAAGACTTTATTTTCTCAGTAAGTTGATTTACTGATGATATCTCATATGATGCAAAAAAGGTTTTGTGTCATTAACTGAAAAGTGGCAGCTTCTCTATCCAGGATGATGAGTCAACAGGTTTCACTAATACTTGTCATGCTGTAGCATTTGTAAGATTTATAAATGATGAAATTCAAAGAAAACTTTTTCTTTTGCTAGGAGCCTGCCAAAACAAAGGCCAATATATAATGTTGTGACATCATATCTGATAACCAGAGGTCTGTTATCTACACTTCTGGTGCCCCATCAGTGGTTGTCTCCATAAGTCATTTTGCATTATTAAAAAAGAAATCCTGATGTTGACATTATAGCACACTGCTTTCTTCACAGAGATGCTGATATCAAAAACTTGAAGATACAGTGACGTTCTGAATAATGTTACAAAACTGGTTACCTGTGTCAAAGACCCATTTATGCAAAAATGTTAAAAAAAACAAAACAAAACAAAACAAAAAAAAACACCCAAAAGAAAAACCTGATCAAACAGCACATAAACCTCCCGCACCATACAGACATCCATTGGCTTATCAAAGGAAGAGTTCTCTACAGGATATTTGAATTGAAAGGTGAATTACCAGAGTACTTACAAGAAAACAGCCAGCTTTTGTTGAGTGCTTTGGAAATGAAAAATGGCTACAGAAACTAGCCTATTTTGCAGACATTTTTCATCACATGAACACATGGACAAGTCTCTGAAAGGTTCAGGAGAAAATTTTTTTTCTTAAAGTGACAAGAGTCTTAGATCTAAAAGGAAACTGACTTGCCACCTTGCCAGAAGAATCCTTGAAATGTTTCTGCAGCCACTTGGACTTGAAAATGAAGGGTACAACTCTCAAATCTTCTCTAACCCAACTGGAGGAACCACAAGACCCAATGAAATAGCATTTTCTCTCCTTTTCCCAGCACTAGTATATAACTGTATGAGGAACCCTTGTCTATGAATCTGCTCAGCTTGAAATTTTGTCTCTGAAAGAAGAGAGTGAACTCAGCCCTAGTCTGACAGTCCTAAATTTCTGTGAAATAAGAGTATTCTTCAAGTTAATGCTCACACTCATATACCATGAGAGTTCTCTGCAGGGGTTTCCTGAATTTGAAAGTTTTTTCAAGGCCTATTTTTGGGTAAAACAATTGAAAAGGCAGACACCAACAAAGTCTGCAAAGTAAACTGTCCAGATTAAGAATATTAAGAAGCTGTAAAGTTAGCTTGTAGAAATGGGCATATCCTTAAGTTTTAAAGTTAGGAATTGCTAAAAATGTTAGGGTTCCTGCACAAGTGGCTATGTTTATTTAATGGCTAGTGAACATGGGAATATATTTTTATCCTAGCTAGTGGTTCTATTTGGCAAACTAGACTAGAATGATTTGAGAGGGGTAAAGAGAATAGGCAGGACCTTCCTTCTGTAGCTTTACATATTTCAAATGTTAATTCTTAATGATATTGAAGTTACTTTGAAATGATTGATAAGAGGATTATTAATATCATTTAGGGGAATAGGGAGGATAGGATTTTGGTGCCTTCTTCAGCAGACTTGCTCCAAGACAAAGATTCTATTTTGATAGTGCAAGACAAAAGGACTCGGAAAAAAACTGGCCATATGCCTACAGAACATACAACTCTGTGGAACTAAATTGTTTTTACTTTGTGAAAGCTGCTACTTTACGGAAAGACTTTGATTTTATAGTTTTGTTTTTAATTGCCTTTTATATTTATTTGTATTTGGTAAGACTCAGTTGTTTAATACAAACTATTCTTTCCCAGTTACAAAATCCTGTGTTCGGTTGTAACCTGAACTCATTAAAATAGTTGTTTTCAGGTTTATCAACTGTTTATTTTCACTGACATTTGAGCATGTTATTTTATAAATGACAAGATTCCAGAGTAGGAAGTAAGTGCTTTTTATTCCCCTTTTGTTTTTTCTTTTAAAAAATTACGTCAGTTAAAAAAAAAAAAAAAAAAAAAAGGTTAATAAAAAAATTTAAAAAAAAAAAAAAAAAAAAACTACAGTCTTGTCGTTTAGAAAATGTTTAGTTCCATAGAGGAAAGAATGTTAAAGTTTGTATTTTAAAACATGATTCTCTAAGGTTAAACATGGTTTTCAAATGTTATTTTTACTTGTATTTTGCTTTTGGTACAGCCAAATATCAAGCTTGTTTTTAATAGTTCTGATATTTTCAGAAAAATCAAAATAAATTTGTTCCCTAAAATTGGTGTTCTGTACTTTTTCTTTCTTTCTGACTCTTAGTAAATCTGTTGCTTTATAGTATATATATATATAGTGTATATGTAGTGTATATATATATCATGAAAGATGTTTATATGTCAAATTATAAAAAGTCATGGATGTGAACCTAAAAAGTATAGAAAATTTATTAATTACCCTTGATCCTTAAATCCAAGTTTCAGATATTTTACAGTTAATTTGCTTCAAAATGAGCCACAGTAATACAGTACTTTCATTAAATTCACTCACTGATTTTTGAATTATTTATACTCCTCATTTTAACAGTATTTTAAATGTCTTAAAGTTTGGTCTCATAAAGTTGTTAAGCAGAAGAAATTGTCTTGAACATTTAGGGTATATCTTTATTTTTAATTAATCAGGCACAAAATACAGATTCATTGTGCACTTTCTTTTTCCAAGTAATCATTTGACTCCTATTTTAAACACTAGAAACCATTATTACCTTTGTCAGTTTGGTTATTAAAACAATTTTCATCCATATATTTTTAGACTTTTATTTTTTAATTTTTTAGCTAAGTAGAAAACAAAAACTTCAACCAGGAAGGATCTTAAACATTTTAAGAGAGTAGTCACGGAATTATCAGGAACAAATAATGAGAGAAAGTAATCATATTACTACTTAACCCTTCAGTTTTTTTAATCAAGCTATGTTTGTCCCTATTCTTGGTCTCTTAAAACATTGTGTTTGATTTTCCCAGTGATTGTCTTTGGGAGTTCTTGAACAAATTCCACCTAATTGACAGGAAAACATTATGAGACATTTGATTCCATTCTTCCAGTTAGTGCAATAGGAGAGAGCTTGCATGAAACTCAGACTGAATTTTAAAGTCTAGATTATCTTGATAATAAGCCTAAGCTTATTGAATCTCATGGACACTAGAAACTGTTCTGTTTATATAAGAAGGGTGACAGTGTAGTGCAAATTCACTTAAATGCTTTGCCACAAGAAAGTAATAATCCCTTTACCCCATTGCTTTCCCCTAGTTCAAACTAGTCCTAAGTCTCTACTGTTCCTGGAAAATGGAGACTACACCTAAATGCGAAAAGAACACTTAGTTCTTGTCTTTTCAGAGCTGGATCCTGGAGATTGAAGATGATTTTTTAGGGATAATTTGGAATATATATAGTTTTCTGCCCTGGCTTGACCATAAAAATCCTCTTTTTGTTCTGTTCTCTCAAAATAAGACTACTACTGTATTTTAAAATGCCCTCAAATAGCCTTTCTGAAAGTCAAAGTTCATTAATTTAGTCAATGTAATGGAGAAAATGTGAGTAGTTCTTAGGTTGAAATTAACTACCTTTTGACTGAAATGATGCTAACTGAAATAGAAATTTCATGCAGACGATCAGTCAATATCAACCAATTCCACGGTTAGAGGGAAACTACAGGGCTATCTTCATGTCTTTATATAGTATTGTTCTTAAATCCTTATTCGATGAAAGTTTCTGGTTTCTTTGGATATTATCTTCTTTCTGAATATTAAATGGTGCCCCTTGATACATACAGTCATGTTCTTTGAATTTATAGGGACATTAGGGCCAAGAGTCCTAGGATAGATGTCAAGTGCTGTCCCTAAAAACAAGGCAGTTGGTCATTCTTGGCCACTGTGCTTTTCTCATACAGAATGGGACAAAAGATTTCTAGAAAGATTCTTAGTAGTGATTCAGTATTTATTGCAGAGTTGAATAAAGGCCCTAGTTCATCATGCATTTATACTGTTCTAACAAAACATTTTCAGGTTCTTAGGGCTAAACAAAAAAAGGTGCCTTCTACCTATATAATGAGCTACTATATGGTCAACATAGTGAGACCCCATCTCTACAAAGACTAAAAAGAAAAAATTAGGCAGGGCACGATGGTGCACACGTGTAGTCCTAGTGACTCAGGAGGCTGAGGCAGAAGGATTGCTTGAACCCAGCAGTTTGAGGTTGCATTGAGCTATAACTTCACCACTGAACTCCTGCTTTTGCCTGGGTAACACAGCAAGTCTCCATCTCAAAACAAAACAAAATGAAGCAAAAAACTCTCAGGAAAGATTGATCTGTCTCTACAAGGTCGTTTCTTGCCTCATATTGTTTGCTTCTCTTTGTAATACTGTTTAAAACCTACCAATTAGATAATTACTGAGGTTAGTAAGCATAATTTATATTATTCATTGTTCATACATTGATTCTAATTGGTGGTTACTTCTGTTCAGCTGAAATCATTTATATTGAGAGAATGAGAACATGGCAGCAAAGGGAAACTATTTCTGAGAATGGAATAAATGGGGAGTGGAGGGGGTATAAGAGGTAAGAGTAGGGGACCCGTAGTGTCACTGTAGAAGCTTACTGGTGTGTGAGAGGGAGAGGTACAGATGTGGGAGGATGCTGACAAACTGTTTTGAAATTTTGTCACTTGCTGTGTCTGTAGGAAACGTCCATGAGGAAAGGAAATTAGGAAAATAGGGCTTCTTCCTAGAAGTAAGACTATTATTGTCATTGCCAGAGTTTCCTTTCCATTCTTCCTAAACAGTCTCATGAGACTTGTTTGGGAAACTGGCCACAATTTTCTGTTTGCCTTGTTTCTGTGAGAAAATGTATTCTGAGTTCCATGGCAGTTGTCCATTCAGTGAAATCTGCTGCCTATCCAGTGATATCTGCATATGCTTATACAGTATCTGTTCCCCCTTTTTAGTAGCTACTGTAGTTTTTCCTATAGAGTATTACCCTAACTTCTCTCTGGTGGGATTGACACCAACCCCTATCTCCAATGATAGACATATTGAGAGGTGACAGCATGCTGACAGCCCTGGCTCACTCTCAGTGCCTCCTTGGCCTCGGCGTCTGCTTTGGCCACACTTGAGGAGCCCTTCAGCCCGCCACTGCACTGTGGGAGCCCCTCTCTGGGCTGGCCAAGGCCAGAGCTGGCTCCCTCTGCTGGCAGGGAGGTATGGAGGGAGAGGCGCGGGCGGGAGGCTTAGCACCTGGGCCAGCAGCTGTGGAGGGTGAGCGGGGTCACCCAACACTGCGGCCTGCCAGGCTCGAATTCTCACCAGTCCCCCAGCACTGCAGCCCGCCATGCCCATGCTGGACCCTCCCCTAGAGGTGCTGCCCCCTGCTCTGCAGAACCAGGTTCCATCAACCACCCAACGACTGAGGAGTGCAGGTGCGGGGCAGGACTGGCGGGCAGCTCTGCCCACGGCCCTGGTGCGGGATCCCCTAGGCTAGCCAGCTGGGCTCCTGAGTCGGGTGGGGACTTGGAGAACTTTTATGTCTAGCCAGAGGATTGTATATGCACCAATCAGCACTCTGTGTCTAGCTTGGGGTTCATGGTTGCACCAATCGGCACTCTGTATCTAGCTAATCTGGTAGGGACCTGGAGAACCTTTATGTCTAGCTAAAGGATTGTAAATACACCAAGCAGCACTCTGTGTCTAACTCAAGGTTTGTAAACACACCAATCTGTATCCTGTGTCTAGCTCAAGGTTTGTAAATGCACCAGTCAGTGCTCTGTGTCTAGTCAAGCTGGTGAGGACTTGGAGAACTTTTATGTCTAGCTAGAGGATTGTATACACACCAATCAGCACCCTGTCAAAATGGACCAATCAGCAGGATGTGGGTGGGGTCAGATAAGGGAATAAAAGCAGGATGAGTGACCCAGCCCTGGCAGCCGCTGTCATCCTTTTTCACGCTGTGGGAGGTTTGTTCTTTCCGTCTTTTTAATAAATCTTGCTGCTGCTCACTGTTTGTGTCCACGCTTCATTCATGAGTTGTAATACTCACCACAAAGGTCTGCAGCTTCACTCCTGAAGCCAACGAGACCATGAACCCACCGGGAGGAATGAACAACTCCAGATGCCACCGCCTTTAAGAGCTGTAACATTCACCGCGACTGTCCGTGGCTTCATTCTTGAAGTCAGCAAGACCGAGAACCCACCAATTCCGGACACAATATGATCCAAGTCTGGCCGATCAGCATATACAATTACCCTGAACCACACTGGTGAGAGATGTGATCTAAGGTAGGCAAATGCAGTCCTGAGAGGTGCTTGAAATGATTGAAAACAGAGCTCTGTCCTTTCCTGGAGGGATGGAGGGTTGCTACCCTGTGTAAGTCTGGAGTTGATTGCTATCAAATAGGAAGAACCCGCTCAAATAGAGCCAGCATAAAGAACAGCAGAGCCAAAAATGGAGAGAGACTAAGTCTTGCCAACCTTACATGAACCCTTGGATGTGGCTGTACTTGAATGCTTGTCACCATGAGCCAAATGTCTTTTTTTTTTTTTTTTTTTTAAACTTAGGACAGTTTGAGTTGAGTTTCTGTCACTTGCCTTCAAAAGAATCCTAATAGCTCCCCTTTGGGACACAACTTCTTGTAAAGTTGGTTGCCTGGTTTATATTTTGACCAAATGCATGCCTCATAGTGAAAATTAAGTGACCACTTTTGGTTCAGCCTTTACCGTAGTCAAATGGACAGAACTCGAAAATATAAAGTTGCTACTTTAATTAATGACATTCATCTACCTCTCTGCAAATTGGATCTGGACTACTGACAACAGCCGATTCAACAACTGCTGGGTGCTCCGCAAGCGCACTCTCCACTTCAAATGGCCCAATATGTTACCTGAAAAGGAAAAGAAGCCTTTGACCACCACATGCTCCAGTAGGAGCTCTCCTTTCCTGTCAATCCTTGCCTCTTAAGAGTGGCAAATCTACAAGCTCAGAGGAAATAATGACATCATCAACTCTGCCGGCAAACCAGAAATCCCCATCGCTGTCCATCATTCCTCTGTCTCCAGTGACATAAAAATCTTCCTTTACCATGGCAGCAGTTTTCTCTGGACTGTCCTTGGAATCACAGATGACATTTGGGGATTAGTTTGGTCAGAACAGAGACGGGTATGGCACTTATTAAGTGACAAATTGTACTTCTAAAGGAAATTATTTATTTTATATTTTGAGACAGAGTCTGTTGCCCATCCTGGACTACAATGGCTTGATCATAGCTCACTGCAGCCTTGACCTCCCAGGCTGTAGCAATCCTGTCATTTCAGCCTTCTGAGTAGCTGGGACCACAGGCATGTGCCACCACACCTGGCTAATGTTTTATGTTTTTGTAGAGACGGGGTCTCACTATATTTCCCAGGCTGGTCTTGAATTCTTGGGCTCAAGTCACCCTCCCACCTCGGCCTCCCAAAATGTTGTGATTACAGGCATGAGCCACTGTCCCTGGCTGGAAATTAATTTTTTAAAAAAAGTAGTTCCTAGTGTAAAATAAAAAAGGTCCCAAAGAGTATAATAAAAAGCCACTCTTCTGCCTCTAGCACCCCCCAACTGCACCCCCATCCTACTCTGTCCAGTTGTCCTTTCTGAGGATAACTACTGCAACTGGTTTGTTACATTTGGAATTTCATCTTTATAATACTCAGATGATAGATGATAGTCTCTGCATTTTACTGCTGATGAAATAGATTTTGTTGTTTGCCCAAGGTTACATAGCAAGACATGGTGGAAATGAAATTTGAACCGAGGTCTGTATTAAGGCATGACTAGCACTTTCTATCCTCATACCACATATTCAGAGAAGAAACAGAAGGGCAGTGTAGACTTTAGTCTGAGGGCAATTTCCCCTTCTTTGCCAGGTGGTAGAACATTGCCATTTTCATCTATAATCTAGAATGAAAGACAATTGATGTTCTTAAAATTTTCTTTTCACAAAATGACAGCAGGTTGTGAAGAGTTGTACAGTGAATAGCAGAAAACTGTAAAACGTTCTTTCTGCTTTATCGAAGCAGTCAGATATTTTCTCAACCTCCTGGACATCACAGTGCAGCATTCTTTTCCCCATTGAGCCTGGTTTAATTTTTTTTCCTTTCTAATCAGCACAAATTATTCCCTATTGAGAGGACAAACTTTGCATAAGTAGACAAAAATTTATTTTCTGAAATGATATGACAATGAAACTTAAGTTCAATTTGGACTGATTTTCCCAGTATTTAAGCACACCTTCTGAAATACGCTATTTGAGACCAGGAGTTCTCAAACATGGGTGTGCTTTAGAATCAAATTGGAGATTCTGGAGCATTGTTGAAACACAGATTTATGGGCCTCATCCCAGAGTTTCTAATGCATTAGGTGTGGAGTGGGGTCCAAGAATTTGCATTTCTACCAAATTCCCAAATGATGCTGATGTTGCTGGTTTGAGGAACACACTTTGAAAACTTCTCCTTAGACTCCATTAAGTGCACCTTGGAATAAATTCCCCACAGAGGCTCTCAGATGATTCTTCCCAGCACAGTTGGAAAGATGAGCTGCTCAGTTCTGAGCCTCACCCACCTACTAAAGCCCTTAAGATTTCTCCTGCATGAAGGGGAGGCGGGTATGATGGAATAATAATCATCACCCCTTTAGCAAAACCTAACTGAACAGTTTGCCGGTTTTGGTAACTACTGGCAAGATGAGGTGTACTGGGAAACTCTGTAAAAATTTAGAGTGGGATGGAGGCACTTCAGGGACTCAGGTTGAAAATCCTGGGGCAGAAAGGCCCCCACATATATTAAACATAAATGTTGCTCTTTAAATATACCACTTCTGTCTGTCCATAGCCCTCATGTAGCTCCAGCCCAGTTTGCACCCTCCACTGCTCCAGCACCTCTGGGGTGAGTGCCTCCTCTCCTGTCAAGCAGTGCCGCAGCCTCTTGAATTCATAGAGAGACGGAGTTGCACGGGGCCTTTTTGAGAGGAACCTGAGTGCTTTCCCTGCAAGATAATTAGGACATTCAAGCAGCAAGCATAGAAGCTAGGAGAGGCAAGTCTTAGGAAAGTTCCTTCAACAAATACTTGTTGAACACCTACTGTATTGCCCGACATTATTCTAGGCATATGGGGCACATTAGTGATTATAACAAAAATTTCTGACAGCTTACGTTTTAACAGATGGAGGAGAACTTAGCTATTAAAGATGTTAAAAGGTGGGACAAAATGCTATTAATGATACTAAGTGCTTATTACGAGCCACATGATATAACAGCTAATATTGATTGAGCAGTTGCTAGGTTGTAAGGGCTTTAGAAGCATTCTTAGACTCCTCTCAACCCCTACTTTACACATGAGGACACTGAGGCTCAGAGAGTTTAAAGAATTTGCCCAAGGCCTTCCAAATAATAAAAGGCTGAGTTGACACTCATGATACTGTGTACCAGGCATCTCCCACTTGTCAGGGTGATCTCACCAAGCAAGTCACTTACATTAAATTCTCACCACAGCCTTGTGAGGTGGCTCTTAATCTTCTCTTATAGATGGAGTTGATGGAGGTTTAGCAAGGTTATCTTGAGTGTCCGAGGCCACACTATTAGTAAGTAGCAGGGCCCTGCCTGTTTGATTTGGAGCTTAGCTTTTAACCACTGGCCTTACTGAAGACAGGTGAGAAAGCCTAGAACAGCTTGCTTCTCAAACACTGAGGCCCCAAATGAACCAGAGGGTGTGGGTAGAACACAAACCATATGCATTCAGAATAATCATTGAATAGTCTCTGAATTACTGTTGAAACATGAGCAAGATGCTTACATAGGACCAAAGGCGTTGGCACTGACTAGGAAAAGAGAAAATTTGTATTTGCATTATTCTGTCTTGCGTAGCACTTTCCCTCTTGGGCATCCGCACTTTGGTGGCAAAAGAGGGTGGACAAGCCTGCACTTCTTAAATTGCTCCTCTCTTCCTTTCTCTCCTCATGTATTGAGTTTGAATGAAACAAATATACATTGTAACTCTACTGGATGCTCATGTGGTGTGGCTAAACTGAATATAACCTTCAAGTCAAACTTTGTTAGCTTCTCTTCAAGGCAGTATAAATATGCTTTTCTTTCTTTTTTGAGGGCTGGTTCTAAATGACAGTGTTTCTAAGAAAGTAGTACTAGAGGATAAATTTTTTGAGTGGGAGTTCTGGGATTGTAGAGCTCTGGTTGTCCCTGGAAAAGTGTCCAGTTGTCCTAGAGGATATACCAGTAGTTTATAGACTAGGGGGCAATTTTGTCCCCCAGGAGACATTAGGCAGTATCTTGGGACTTTTTTTTTTTTTTTTTGAAAGGGAGTCTTGCTCTGTTGCCCAGGCTGGAGTGCAGTGGCACCATCTTGGCTCACTGCAACCTCCACCTCCTGGGTTCAGGCGATTCTCCTGCCTCAGCCTGCGAAGTAACTGGGATTACAGGCGTGTGCCACCATGCCGGGCTAATTTTTGTATTTTTAGTAGAGACAGAGTTTTGCCATGTTGGCCAGGCTGGTCTTGAACTCCTGACCTCAGGTGCTCTGCCCGCCTCAGCCTTCCAAAGTGTCGGGATTACAGGTGTGAGCCACTGCGCCCAGCCTAGGGACATTTTTGATTGTCACAAATGGTGGGGAGGAGGTGCTGCTGGCATCGAGTAGAGTCTTGGGATGCTGCTCAATATCCTGTAATGCATACTTTCAGGAGTTTGGGGCTGGCTTCCTGTGACCTTTACCCTCCTTGCCAAGGGAAAATGCGACCCTCCAAAGTGAGAAACTTGAGGGCATGGGTCACCCCAGACTTGGCATCTACCCAGAGCCTGAGAAGGAGGGAACGATGATCCTCCAGCTACCTCATAGGGCTGGCATAGGTGGTCACTGCCCTGAGGATCACCCAACTGTGTTGGGCAACCTGGACCCCATCTGCAGGAATATGAGGAAGAGAATACAAAAGTCTTTATATGGACACTGAGAAGTCAGATGCAGAAGAAACCTCCAGGCCTTAACTACCCAATTCTTGGTCCTTGGGTGGAGAAAAGAGCATAGTTGATGATCACGTGCACTTACACACTAGGGTCAGCAGGTGGCACTCGTCTGTGGCTCTGAAAATAGAGATTTGGAAGATCATCACAGTTAATATTTAACAAGCCCTTGGCCGGGCGCGGTGGCTCAAGCCTGTAACCCAGCACTTTGGGAGGCCGAGGCGGGCGGATCACGAGGTCAGGAGATCGAGACCATCCTGGCTAACACGGTGAAACCCCGTCTCTACGAAAAATACAAGAAAATTAGCCGGGCGAGGTAGCGGGCGCCTGTAGTTCCAGCTACTCAGGAGCCTGAGGCAGGAGAATGGCGTGAACCCGGCGGGGCGGAGCTTGCAGTGAGCTGAGATCGCGCCACTGCACTCCAGCCTGGGGCACAGAGCAAGACTCCATCTCAAAAAAAAAAAAAACAAGCCCCTGTTGTGTGCCAAATCATTCCCCTCTCGCAACAACCTAATAAGCTAGGGATTCTTATATATATTTTATAGAGAAGGAAATGCAGACATAAAGAGGTTAATTATCTTGCCCAGATTACATAGTTAATAAGTGGTGGAGGCAGAATAGAATCTAAACAGTGTGGCTCCGGAGTGCACATGCATTGATTCGACAAGTGTTTATTGAGCACCTGCCATGTACAAAGCCTTGTGTGACTAAAAAGGGTTATAATTAATAAAAATGACAAATCACTAGCACTTTTAAGAGTTAACTTTTTTTTTTTTCCCCAGACGGAGTCTTGTTCTGTTGCCCAGGCTGGAGTGCAGTGACGTGATCTGGGCTCATTGCAAGCTCCGCCTCCTGGGTTCATGCCATTCTCCTGCCTCAGCCTCCAGAGTAGCTGGGACTGCAGGTGCCCGCCACCACGCCCAGCTAATTTTCTGTATTTTTAGTAGAGATGGGGTTTCACTGTATTAGCCAGGATAGTGTCAATCTCCTGACCTTGTGATCTGCCCGCCTTGGCCTCCCAAAGTGCTGGGATTATGTGCGTGAGCCACCGCGCCTGGCTGAGTTAACTTTTTTTCCTTTTTTTTTTTTAATTGAGACAGAGTCTCACTCTGTCACCCAGGCTGGAGTGCAGTGGCGCGATCTCGGCTCATTGCAAGCTCCACCTCCTGGGTTCACGCCATTCTACTGCCTCAGCCTCCAGAGTAGCTGGGACTACAGGTGCCCACCACCACATTCAGCTAACTTTTTTGTATTTTTTGTAGAGATGGGGTTTCACCGTGTTAGCCAGGATGGTCTCAATCTCCTGACCTTGTGACCTGCCTCGGCCTCCCAAAGTGTTGGGATTACAGGCGTGAGCCACCGCGCCTGGCTGAGTTAACTTTTTTTTTCTTTTCTTTTTTTTTTAATTGAGACAGAGTCTCACTCTGTCACCCAGGCTGGAGTGCAGTGGCACGATTTTGGCTCACTGTAACCTCCACCTTCCAGGTTCAAGTGATTCTCCTGCCTCAGTCTCCAGAGTAGCTGGGATTACAGGTGCCTGCCACCACATCCGGCTAATTTTTATATTTTTAGTAGAGATGGATTTCACCATGTTGGCCAGGCTCGTCTCAAACTCCTGACCTTAACTAATCCACCCACCTCAGCCTCCCAATGTGCTGGGATTACAGGTGTGAGCCATTGTGCCTGGCCAACATTTTCTTTCTTTGTAGGCTTCAGGCACAGAACTGTATATACAGTAATAGTGAAATTGATCCCACTGTTGCGGAAAATCGGGAAGGCAAGAGAGACCTTGGGGTTTATACTGGAGAATCTTTATTGAGTGCACTCAGACCCAGTGGACTCAGCATCCAAAATCTGGGCCCAGAACAAAGATGAACAAAGACAGCACTTGACTTTTATACACACTTCAAAAAGGGGAGTGGGCTAGCCTGAAACAAGCTTACAGTGGCACAAAGCATAGTGGCATAACAGCAAGGATGCAGAGGCAGAACAAAGGCAGTTATTTAAATTGTAACAGGTTCATAAATCAGGATTACACATGGCCATGACCGTTGCTATGCAACCCAGATGTCTGTTATCTAGGTTTGCCTAGGCACAGTCTTATCCTATAACCTTCACTATGGTGCCCAGGTGGCTGTAGCTCAGGTCTGCTCAGATGGCTCATGACCTTCGCTGTGCTACTTAGATAAAACAGAATACTTGAAGTCACTAACAGAGAACAGGAATCTATAAACTTATACCATAAAACAAAGGAAAATTTGTTTTGTTTTCTCGCTATGTTGAGGGAGTGCTGGGAGAGTCTTCAGAGCACATTAGATAGTATTATCAAGGCTTTTCCTGAGTCTGGGCTGTGCTTGTTGCTGCCTCTGGGAAAAGTCAGCCTAATATAAGGAAGCTTATTTCTCTTTCTTTTTAATTTTATTTTTCTTTAATTTCCCACCTCACCACTACTCATTATGAGAGGAATGATTATACATTTAAATGAGTTGGATGTTTTATATGTATTATCTCATGAAATCTTGACAGAAACTGAATGAGGAATGAAACTTCATTGTTCCATTTCACACAGAAGGAAACTGAGGTTAAGAGGGGTAAAGTAATTTTGCATGGCATGAAGCACAAATTCAAAGTACAGGGATTTGAACTTGGTCCTGTTTTTTTCTGAAGCCCTCATGCTCTATGACCACTATAGACTCAAACATCACCTTTTTTTCCCCCACTAATTTGACAAACGTTTTCTCTTAAAACTATATAATAGATTGGCACTCATCATGAGCCCCTGTTCTCATTCTGCAGGTGGTGAAGCTCTTCATTGTCCTGACTCCACAGTTCTTGTCCCATGACCAGGGCTGGCTCACCAAGGAGCTGCAGCAGCACGTAAAGTCAGTGACACTCCCATGCGAGTACCTGAGGAAGGTGAGTGAGCGCAGACAGATGGGGTCCGGTGCCCTTGAACAGTCAGTGACATCCCCATGCAAGTACATGAGGAAAGTGAGTGAGTGCAGACAGATGGGACCTGGTGCCCTTGAGCAGTTCCCAGTTCTTGGCTGTCCCACGTCTCATAGCATGGCCATGCTTGGGGAAGCTTCGGCAGTCACAGTACTTGCTTTTTCTTCTATCTGAGTGGCTTAGGGATGGGGTGAAGTAGTTGACTTATTTGGATGAAAACCGCTATCTTGTGTCAGAAACTCAGAAGGAATTATTGCTGACATGTTAACCTAAAACAGATAAGGGTCCAGCAATACTTAAAAAGGTTATTTATAATCCTGCAAAATTTGAAAAGGAAATCCAAATCAACAGCTTGTAAACTATTTTTTAACATAACATAATAAGAAATGCATTCTGTATTACACATATATGTCCTATACATATGAATAAAAGAATTAACAAAATCATATTAATTTTACAATATGTAATACATTCTTATTTTTTATTCTTCTTCAGTTGTTTTAAATGCTGTGTGCAACCTACAAAAATCCAATAATAATAATTAAATTATTCACTAAATTGAACATTATCATGTAATTTAAAATGATAATCTCAAAAAATCTTGAGATAAAATATTTTAACAATATACTATTAAGAGAAAAACACTGGCTATGAAAAAAATACATAGTTTTATCCTATCTGTTTGAAAATAAAGTTTGAAGAAATACATATGCAAAAAGGTTTACATTTCCTTCTTTGTGATACTTGGCTGCATTATTTGAGCACTGACAGTACACATTATGAAGCTACATGGCTGACACTGAGTACTCACTGTGCATGCCAGGCCATGGGCTCAATGCTCTACATGCATTTTTACTTCACTTAATGCCCTCTACAACCTGAGATAGTATAGCCTGCTTCACAGAATGTGGAGTAGATGGTGCGTGTCTGCTAGGATGGGCTAGGTATCACTGTAGGTAACAAACAGCCCCAAACAATGGAAATGTACAACACTGAAAGCTCTTTCCCGCTCATGCTGCATGTCCTCCATGGCTCTCCTGGCCCCTGTGCTCTATATCCCCTCATTCTGCCACCAGAATAAAGGAGCAGCCTCCATGTGGGACCTGCCAGCTGCTCTGAGAGATGAAGGAGAGGGTGGTCAGTCTCAATGGCTCCCAACTCTTTTGCCTCAAGGTTATATGCTTCACTTCCACTCACATCTTCTGGGTCAAAGCAAATCCCATGGCTACATCCACCTTCAAAGGGTCCACGGGAGAGCCTGAAATACCTGGGGACTCAATTAAGGCCAACATATGGTGTCAGCCTATGTGGGAGACTGTGGAGGGGCAGAGGAAAAGAGTGGGGAATTGATGGGAAATGATAGCAGGACTAAGTCACCGTGGATTTGCTTTATCCTTAACCAGGTGTAGTTTGTCCCAGAGCTGCACAAAATTATCACCAGCAAGATTAAACAGAGTGAAGTTTGGAAAAAGGAGATTGGTCAGACATAATCAGCAGTGAACTTAGAATCGACTGAGTGACATTAAGTCAGTAAATCCCTGACTGCCCCAGTTACTCACATGATAGTGGTAAGGATGGGAGCATTGAAAGAGTTGACTTGGAAGGGTGTAAGGAGTGTAAAAATTCCAACGTTTTAGTTCCTTTAAGTTAAACTCAGACACTATCTTTCCTGAAAGTCTCCCGTTTCTTTCAGATTGCACAGGTGAGAGTGCTCAGATTAGGGTTGGAGTTCATAAAATATTAGCTCCCACAATATCAGTGCCCATGTGTCATGGGTGTATTATGTGCTTTGCTAAACACTTTCCCAAAACATCTTGGGGTCTGATTTTCCCTCCTTGTTCCAATAGCCCTGAGTGACTCAAGTGCCCATTTAATGACACAGAGGTCTCAGGGATGCTCCATGAGGCTCCAGGTGCCAACCTCTGCCCTGCTGGAGTGTGAGGCAAGGGACAGGGTATCTTCTGTGGGAGGTAGTGGTCAGCCAGGCTTGGTGACACTACTTGCTTACCAGACCATCCCAAACCTGCCACCTCTGTTGGATCCACTGCCTCTGTGCCTGCCTGTACTGCTGATGCTCCAGTGGCTGCCTCAACATCCCGGCCTAGGCCCAATGCCACTGAAGATGGACCTGCCCCAGGAGACCTATGAGCCCTACAGGGGTCACTCAGCTGTCCCCAGGAGTGTCCAGACACTCATTCCTGTTCAGGACATAGAAGCCCTACCCCTTGGCTCTCCCTCTTCAGCAGTAAATGATGATTTACTGCTGTTACCATCATCACTGCCTTTAGTGTCCGAGGACCTTCCAAGGCACGAGTTCTGGAAGGAAAGATGCCCTTGGGGGGTGACGATACGCAGGTGCACAGGTGCTCAACAGATTGCTTCCTCCTATCCTCAGACAGTTTTTGCATCAGCCGCTGGCACTCTCATTGTGTGGAAGGAAATCAGTCCAGGGTCACACAGCTGGTCTCAAATCCAAGATGCCTGGCTCTGCTTCCATAAGGGACCTGCCTGCAAAGGAGGTTGACCCTGCTTCTGGGAACCTTTCCTAGGCTGCATGAATAACCTCCCCTGTTTGAGGCCTCAAACTCTGCTCACATCTCCTTTCTTTCCCTGTCTCTGCTTGGGCTATAATCAAGACGACCCTGGCAAACGTTCATGGACATCATGGTACTCTGTACCATTCACTTTTGGGCTAATCTGACTTCAACCCCCCTTCACTTGATCTCTTCTTTTACAACTAATACAACCCAAATCTGGGGCTCTTTATGCAGGCAACAGCATACAGGTAGAATTTCATTCCAGTGTTTTGTTATACCTGTTTTGTTTTTGTTTTGCTTGTTTCTTAGGGTTTCTTTCTATTTTTGGTAAAGGCATTGACTATTTGTAGCATCAACAGAATATTTCCTGTTTACAATAACTTTATGTTCTAGTAAATGGTAAAGGGATTTCACGCAGTGGTTTTAAGCTGCCAGAGGCCTGAGTAAGTTTAAGCACATTCTGTGCGATCAGGTAGAAGAAGGCCTTTGGGAAATTTAGCTGAGGACAGGGCCAGAAAAGGTGATGGACAGTGGGGGTCTGTTCTCATCACCGGGCCCCTGGGTTCTGTCTACCTGTCTGACACTCCCCACCCATCACTCATGAGGCAGCCAAACCCTCTGGGTATTGTGGCCAAATGGCCCAGGAGAGAAGCTGAAGATCTTTGTCTCTTGAAAAGTACAGAATCCTTGGACATCCCTGGGAGGTCAGCCATGGAAATCAATTTGGTTTTCTTCCCCTTATTAGGGTTCAAAATTTAAAGTTCACACTCACAGGCAGTAAGATGACACAGATTAGTGACATCATCACTCCATTTCAGATGTTAAAATACCTAGGTGGGTTGGGGTGATTTGAGACCACACAACCTTGTGCCACAAAGTGGATTACCCAGGCCAGAGAGAAACATTCTATTGCCATATTATGATCCTATCATTGAGTGCAAAGGCAGTTTTGTTTCATTCTGGATTCTTTCTCATGTTTATATCTTACTTATAAGGGCACTTTAATTTCCGAGCATATAAAAGTTTTTGCTTAGCTTTTTATCATTGTTTCTCACACAATTATATGATCAGAAATATGCTATGTGATTTGATTTCTCTTAAATATATTGAGATTTGCTTGATTAACAAAACAAGTCCGGTTAATTTTTGTAAATGTACCACATTTGCTTAAAATGAATGTATCTCCAACATTTGTTCCTAAGATACAAGGATGATGGATGGATGGTACATGTATGTGCTGGAGAGGGTTCACTATTCAGACCTTCTGCATCCTACTGATGTTTTGTTGCTTGTAAATAGCTGAGAGGGGGCTATGGAGTCTCGTGCTCTGCTTGTACATGAGGTTCTTCCTGCCATCCTGCCATCATTTGTTTTTTATGTTTTGCAGCCAAGCTCAGGAAAGAAGGAGTGGACCAGAAGTAGGAATAGGGAGCTGGGTTGGGGAGGACCAGAAATCTGAAGGTCTGAGAAGGTTCCAGAGAGGATCTGTCCTTGGGATGGTGCTTAGGTTCTCAGGTTGGGGAGGGGGTGTGGAAGAATTCGGGCACCACATGGAATGTCCACTGTAAGGCACCACATTCTGGGGCCAGGGATTGATGGAGAGGAGGTATAATGCCCCAGGGTTGCTAAGGCAGGACCAGACAGGAGGTTTGGCGGAACCCAGAGCCCTGGTCTTCCTCCAACTGCTCCTAAGCCTCCCGCTCTCCTGCCCCGCGTGTCCCATTGCCTTGCTGATCGACTTTCTCACTGACTTGTAGCTGGTCCTCCAACCAGTGCTTGAGGGCTTAGTTTGAACTGGATACTTTCCCAGAGCCCCTTCTCCTCCTCCTCCTCCAGGTGCCCAACGGTCACCCTTCCCTTCTCTCCTTTTCCCTTCACTTCTCTCTTCCACCTCAACTGCGATCCCACTCTCATCCCCATTCCTTTCCCTTCCCCAGCCCTTCCCCACCTTTGTCCTGGCCACCTCAGGGTGCCCTGAGAGGACCAAGATATGTGGGTGTAGTGGGTGCTGCCTTGGCTTCTCTTGCTGGGGTTTTCCAGCCATCAGTCCACCCATGTGAATAGATACTGGACCCACAGGGTTTCTTCTTTTTCGTTGGGCTGTGTCATGAGGCATGAAATTACACAGCTCATACCTACAATCCCAGCACTTTAAGGCCCGAAAGGTGTGCAGATCGCTTGAGTCCGGGGGTTCAAGACCAGTCTGGGCATCACAGCAAAACCCCGTATCTACAAAAATATTCCAAAAGAAAATCAGTTGGGCCTGGTGATGCATGCCTGTAGTCCCAGCTACTGGAGAGGCTGAGGTGGGAGGATTGCTTGGGCCCAGGAGATGGAGGTTGCAGTGAGCCACGATCACCCTATTGCACTCCAGTCTGGGCGACAGGGTGAGACCTTGTCTCAGACAAAACGAAAACAAAGTGAAATGTCACTTGAGTTCTGTGTCATCCAGTTTGATAACTTTTTAGGAACTTCTGATTCATCCATGTCTTCTGCTCTTGGGAGCTGCCTCCAGGGAGTCTGTGTGAAATTAGTGTGATGGGAAACTGAGAAGCCCATCAGGTGACAGAATAAAGGGCTGTATTCTTTGGGTATGTCTGCAGTATGGGAGTCACTAGGAGTGACATGAGCAGGATGTGAATGAGAACTCTATTGTCCTTTGTTTTGTAAATGTGTCGAGTGCTGATCATTGATTTACTCAAATCAGAAATGTTTTTAAAGTCCTTATGGTTGTCCAAATATAAAGAAATGACAGGTTTTCACTTTGAAAGTGTTCACTCTCACATTATAAAACCTCACTGCTACCCTCAAGAAAGGTGACCTTATAGAGATGAGAGTATTTCTTCTGACCAGCATCCACTAGATTCTTAGGGAGGGATCTGGAAAAGTCTAGTGATGGGGAGCAGCCACTGCCTTGAGGCAGAATCACCTCACATGAGTACCTCCAATCAAAGAAGAATCTGTTCTTTCTTTTGAGCTTATGAAGGAGGAAATGACTTGGTAATCTTTGTTGGAATTTTTTTCCCTTTACCTGGCTGCATTTTCATGGATCAGTTAAACTCTCTTTGCCTACCTCACCTTTGAAGACTTTGTAAATTTCCTTCATTGCATTTTCCACCTTCACCCTTGCTCATGGCCATCGACTGTCAGAACCCAAGCTTTACTGGCCCCATTGGGTCTAATGTAGGTAGAAGCCCACTACTGATAAACTGCATCCAGATAGTTGTCAGCTGTGACAAGAGAGCCCAAGATGGGGGAGGTTTTCCTGGCCAATGACAAGATGGCCTTTGCCCTTCTTGTGCATTTGATCCACATCTTTAACCATTGTGCCCAGAGCTTCTGGTCCCTTTCAGACAGAGGCTACTCAGAAAGAGTGTGTCCCTCCCAGGAGCCCACGCTGCACTCACCTCCACTGTGAGGCTGAAGATGAAATTGCTACAGAGCTCGGAGGCTGCGTTTTAGAGAGGTTTTGTTTGCACAAAACTGAGTCTTGATATGTGAGTTGGTCTGAATTACATTTCTATTCATTTTCTCCCCCAATACTTGTAAATCTAATGTTTGTAAAATAATATGTGTGCCTTTTGTGGCAGTGGCTATACATTCCAGAAAGTTTGTATTGCTTTCCATATGGATTTCCAAGGTTGCTACTGATTGCTTTAGGTGCAATGCTCTAAAATATGAAGGGGAACTCTTGTTATTGGTGTCTTGATTGCGTTTTTAACTAACTTCAATTCTCTCAGTTTGAATTACAATTCCAGGAAGACTATGTTATGCAAATCTTTATGGACTTTGAAAATGTGACATGAAGTGCAGCTAGTTTCAGCAGCAAAGTGAACATTAATTTTCAAAAGTTAACATTTTTATAAACTTGGGCTAAACAACAGTCTGTGTTTATTTTTGTTGAAATATAACCCGGGTATTATTATTACAGCAGCTGTCCTCTCTCAGTTTTGTGTATATGTAAACATGTCTTTATGTCATATTTTCATCTATAACCTTAAGACTTTTTTCTTATATTTTTCTCATTCTTCCATACAGTGTAGACATATTTTTGGATATATTACAAATAGTGTAATGCAAATTTATAAATATTTTTAAAAAGATCTTGGCTTCCCAACCCCTTGTGAGTTTGTATTTTTTATCCACATTTTAATTTGAAGTATAAATTTCTAGGTAAAGTTCCGTAATTATTTTTTAAAATATTTGCAATGTTTTTGTCACAGAAGGGAATATGACCCCTGAATAGAGCAGGAAAAGAATAAGGCGCTCTGCTACAGATCAGGAAGGAGCAGGAGGTGAAATGTTACAAATTCTAGAACTCAGAGAACTGAAGATAATTACTTCCTTTTCAGATTGTTAAACATTTTAACCTGTGGTAAAACATTCATAAGAAAACATTTATAACATGATCATTGCCATCTTAATAATGTTGAAGTGTACAGTTCAGGTGTGAAGTATACTCATGTCATTTTTCAGTTATTATTTCCTAGACGTCTTTTCTCAAGTCTATCTCAAAGCCATGAAATGTAAATGACGGATCCACCGATCTGCAGCAGACAGCCTGGAGGTCCAACAGGCATAGCCAGGAAGTTATGCTATCTATTGGAGTCCCCACAGTATGGAAATGAGTTTGCCCTGGAAAGGGGAAGAACAGCTTCTTGCCCTCAGGTCGATGACCAGAGTTCCAGTCCTGAATCATGGAAACATGCAGTAGTGAACTGCAGGGTTAATGACATCATGTCCTGGAAGGATCTCTCAAAGGCTAACTGTCTGGGTTCTGGCATCAGCCTCTAAATGAGAATCAGGTCTTCCTATGGGAGGAGTCAGATGAGGAGCTGTCCCCTGCTCCATCTTGATGGAGTTAGTTGTGATGAGTTGGTGAGATCTGATTTTCCACACTGAACTAAAATGAGCTTTCAGTGTGTCAAGCACAAGACTGACCCCAGAAGTACACATAGTGCATCTCATAGAAGCTTCTAATAGCTTCTAATAGTGCTCGTTTAGTTAAGAATAGGATTATGGAGCCACAGAGACAAGCTGGAAATGACAGGAATGACAGGTGACTTGCTAGCAGGCCAGAGTGTTTTTGTTTTTTTTTTTTGTCTGTCAATGGGAGGTGTCAATTCTTCCTCCCTATTGTTGAATATCAGTTGTTTCACGTATGGGAAGGCTGTGGGGGACCTTTGAATCATGGCCTTCAGATGCCAGAATGGCAGAAAGATTCCCACATGGGCAAGAGGATCATGTGTGTGCATTTCCCTCTGTTTTCATCTCAGGAAGCTGAGAATGAAAGAATGTGAGTGAGCAGAAAAAGAGAGGCAGCTGTCAGAGGTGGAGGAAAAAGGGAAATTGGTTATGGAAAAAATACACACCTTCAAGTGAGTTCAGAAACTGAACACCAGCCACATGGGAAACTTCCATCGGAGTGTTTTGCTTTTAACTTTTGTACAATGTTTAGACCCAGTTAAGACAGAAATACAAACAAGTGGTCAGAAGACGTATTTAGAGAGAGAGAGAATTCACACAAGAGAAAACAAAATACCTTCAGATTTACCAGTGACCAAAACATGTGAAGTAGCAAAACATCTCCTGACCCCAGTCGGGTCAGACTGTGTAGAAACTCAGTTCATTTCTGCCATTCTAGGGCTGGTATTCGTCGCCGTCATTCTTAGAAAAGCGTGTTGTAGGATCAACCACATTTTTTCAAACGGACTGTGCCCAGCTGTTTCTACTCTGTGAAATATGGCAAGGATATTAATACAAGGAGACTAGAGCTTTATAATCAAAGATGCCCAATGAAGGATGAGGTACCAAATGGTGCCCAGTGGGTAAGGACATTGTCAACTCAGAACCCAGCAGGCATGAAGTAAAAGAGGAGGCATCATTACAGCAACAGTTTTGGTCATACTGTACTTTGAAAACCCTGTGAAATACATTTTCTATGTATAGCTAGTGTAAGGGCACAGTTGTAAGGATAACAGAAACATGGCAGATTATTTAAAAACATACTGAAATGGTGCTTATTTGATGAAAGTGATTCTAAACCATAGGAAAATAATTCAAGACACCCAAGAGCTTTGGTGGTGAATAGAAAACTACTACAGACGCAAGGTAAGGAGCCTTCCTCCCCGCAGCTGCAGGCTCCTTCAGTGCTGATGTGGATAATGCCATGCCATTTAGACTCTCTCAACATACAATTTCTCATGTGTTGGTTTTTTTCAGATCGTCCCTTCTGTAAGAAAGGCCCTTGACAACTGAGCAGTTTTTTGCCCCTTGCTTTTGGGCATAGTCTGCCAGGTCAGGGCGTGGATGTATTTTTCTCCCCACAGCTCTGTGCTCAAACCTTGCAGAGGGAGATGGCCGAGAGGAAGGCTGTCTACAAGCAGCACAGGTAGGTAACTGTGATGGACATTTTTAAGGATGTTTTTGTTTTAAGATGAAGCTTTGAGTGTCTAGTAAAGAACTTGGTGTTTTAATTCTTCTTCAAGTGAATTCTTTCTGTATCTTCTAGATGGGAAATGATGGAGAAGCAGAGTCATGGAGACACGCAAGAGTCAGGAGCCAGCCCAGGGACAACTGGGCCTAGAGAGAACTTTCTGGAGAGCTCACTGTGAAGGTGGCCACTTCTGCTGCACAATCCACACAGCCTGCTTCTCCTTTTGGGGTTGAGAGCTCAGGTGGGGTGACAATTATGTTTCCTGGAAACAATTCTAAGTACTTACTACAGAGAACATGTGTCTCGTTTGGTGGCAGGACCCTATTTTTCTCAGATGCCGCAGCTGAATGTCTTTTAGATGCTCCCCTGAGAATGGTGGAGCTCAGTCTCCTCCACTGACTGTGAACATTGCCCCACTCTGACATCTTGGTTACTTTTAACTGAAAAGACGAGCCTAGAAAGCAAACGGGCCAACTCCCCTTCCCACCTTAAGTCAGCACAAAGGCTTTATCTTTCTTTCATTTGAGAAAACACTAATAACATTTTAGAATGGGAGCTATATGTGCTGATGAGAGCAGACATTTTCTGGCTATGTCTTCATCAATCAGTATTGTACCATGAGATCTGCTTTAAGAAAAGCAACATTTATTTACATTTTTTGGAGCTTCATTTTTTTTTTGTTTAAATTGTTTATTGTGGACTATATAACTCCATTAGTAAATTAAATTTCCATGTAGTCGTACTCTTCTGACATGCTAGGTGTAACCCTAAAACTTTTCAGTTAATTTCTGATACTTTCACCTTTTCTCAGTACTTCTGGTCATTTTATGCCCATTTCTCTTCATACATATTGATAGTACCTGGGAAGATATGAAAGTTAAAGTAGCTGTAAATTTACAGAACTTTAAATGTCCATACGACTTGAAGAAAAGGAGCAGTGCTGTTTCTTTTCAGGGTTTATTGATATTCTTCCAATCCATGACTGTTTCTATTTTCAATTTTAGTCTGTGTTTACGGGATGAGTGACTTTTTTTCTGATATGTACTGGGAACCCCTGATTTAGAGCTCATTTATAGATTCTTAGAGCCCTACCTGTCCAGAGTCAGTTGATAGTTAAGAAAATCCATAGACCAGGGCTCTGAGGTGTCTGAGCCAGCCAGCAACTCAGCGTCTAATCCAGCCTCTCAGCCAGCCAGCCTCTCAGCCAGCCAGCATTTCAGCCAGCCCAGCCTCCCAGCCCTTTTCTGGGTCAGCCTCTCACGCAGTCATTTGGCCAGCCTCCCAGCTGGCCTTTGAGACAGCTAGCCTGTGGGTCTCTCGGCCAGCCTCCCAGGCGATCCATTAGTGAGCCTTCGAGGTGACCTCTAAACCAGGGAACTAGCCCACCTCTCGGCAAGATTCCAAGCCACCCCCTTGGCAGATCTCTCAGCCAGCCAACCTGCCAGCCAGGCTCTCAGCAAGCTTCTCAACCAGCCAGGCTCTCAGCAAGCTTCTCAACCAGCCAGTCTCTCAACCAGCCAGTCCCTCTTGGCCAGCCTCTCAACTGCCCTCTCAAGCAACTAGCCTCTCATTCAGCCCACCTACTAGCTAGCCTCCAGGCAAGCCTCTAATCTAGTCAACCTCTCAGTAACCCTCTAAGCCAGACTTGCAGGCAGGCAGCCTCTCAGCCAGCTTCCCAGGCAACCAGCCTCTCAGGCAGGCAGCCACCCAGACTGCATCTTGACCAGCCTTCCAGCTAAACCTTTGCTCAGCCTCTCATCCAGCCAGCCTGTCAACCATGCTCCAGGCAATCCTCTAATACAGCCAGTTTCTCAGCAAAGCCTCTAAGCCAACCTCTCAACCAGGCAGCCTTTGAGCCAGCCTTTTAGGCAGCCAGCTTGTCAAACAGCCTCCCAGCCAGTCTCTCATCCAGGCTTCCATGCATTTAACCTCTTGCCCAGCCTCCCAGATGTCCTCTTGGCCAGCCTCTATGCGCCACGTTGGCCAGCCTCTCATTCAGCCAGCCTGATAGCCAACCTCTCAGCAAGCCTCTAAGACAGCCTCTCAGCCAGGCAGCCTCTCAGCCATCCTCTCAGGCAGCCACCCTCTCAAACAGATTCTTAGAAGTCTCTCAGCCAGCCATCCTCTCAACAGGCCTCTAAACTGGTCTCTCAGCCAGGTAGATTCTCAGCCAGACTTCTGCTCAACCAGTCTCTGGAACAGCCAGACAGCCAGCCTCTCAGCCAGCCTGCCTGCTGGCTTCTTGGTCAGCCTCCTCAGCCAGCCTCCCAAACAGCTTCATGGCCAGCCTCTCAGCAAGACAGTTAGCCAGCCATTGTCTCAGCAAACATCTCAGCCAGCCTCTCAGTCAGGCAGATTCTCAGCCTGCCATTTTCTCAGCCTGCTTCTCAGCCAGGCAGATTCTCAGCCTGCCATTTTCTCAGCCTGCTTCTCAGCCAACCAGCCAACCAGCCTCTCAGCTGGTTTCCCCAGCCAGCCTGTTAAACAGCCTCCCAGACAGCCTCTAGGCCAGACTCCCAGCCTGCTTCTTCCCCAGCCTCCCTTGCAGCTACATCTGGACCAGGCTATGAGTCACTCTCTCAGCCAGCAGGACAGCCAGCTTCTGAGCCCGTCTCTCAGCTGGCCTCTTGACTGGCCTCCTAAGTGGCCTCTATACCAGTGAGTCAGCTAGCCTCTTGGCAAGCCTCCCAGCCGCACCATTGGCTGGCATCTCAGCCAGCCAACCTGCCAGTCAGCACCTCAGCAAGCCTCTAAGCCAGCCTCTCAACCAGGCAGCCTCTCAGCCAGGCAGCCTCTCAGCCAGACACCCAGTCAGACAGACCACCTCTCAGCCAGAGAGCCTGCCATCCAGCCTCACAACAAGCTACTTGGCCTGCCTTTAAGATAGCCAACCAACCAAACTCTCAGCCAGCCAGCCAGCCTGCCAGCTAGCTTCTAAGCAAGTAAACCTCTCAACCCATCTCTCAGCTGGCCTTTAAGTGAGCCTCTCCGCTAGGCAGCCTGTGAGCCAGCCTGTCAAGCAGCCATCCTCTGTAACACACCACCAGGCTCTCGGAAAGCCTCTCAGCCAGCCAACCTCTCAGCAAACCTCTAAGCCAGCCGCTCAGCCAGGCAGAAATGCTGCTAGCCATCCTCTCAGCCATCCTCTTGGCCAGCCTCCAAGATGCCCCCTTGACCAGTGTCTCAGCCAGCTAGCC